TTTTTTTTTGATTTTTGATGCGAGCAAAGTGGTTTATATATACATTTATTATTTCGTATATTACAGAGATGTATAATATTTGAAAAATAAAAACCCGTACCCTAATATTATGTCGAATAATATTTTATACAAAATATAGCGTAGGACGTGGGTTGTGTTTATTTTTTTCTTTCTTGTGTTTCAATAAACGATGTGGGAGATCTGCAGAAAACACCAAAACCACCGTGTAGACGACGGCGGCGGTGGAGACTAGAGTTTACGACCTATATCGTATTATTATATATTATGTATTGTCGTTGTCGTCGTTGTCCCTTGTCGGGCCGCTACAAGACCTACCCAAGTCCAACGTCGGCCATTTTGTCGTAAAGGATTGGCATTGCCAACCGCATGCAGAGGGCCGGCCGGTCTTGTACGACCGGCTCGCGCAGTAAAGAGTAAAGACTTCAAATTTATCACGGCGATTTCATCAGAACCGATAACACGCACACTGCACAATGTCTGTCTGTCTGTCTGTCGGCGTAATTACGTGCGCACAATGCGCGCGGCGCACTTTAAACGCCACACACACACAAACACACATTATATGAATATAGCGGTTGGTAAAATAATATTGTATGTTACAAACGTACGCTCAACAGGATTCCGCGAGATTATTATATTTCGTTTTTGAAGAAAATGTTTTTTTTTTTAAATCTTTGTCGGGTGTGACGTCCGCATCGGTATGTTCTTCGCGGCAAGGACGTCAAAAAAGCACATTATAATATATATATATATATGTATGTATGTATACCTTTATGTACGCTTGTACATCGCACAATAATAAAAATAATAATTATTATTCTCTTAGTGGTCATGTGAGAGCATATGTACGCGTATATAGCCGGGACTCAAGGAAATGAAAAAAGACCCGACGTGTTGTCGTTAATTAAATAGAATAAAAACTTAATTAAATAATGTACATTGCGCGGTATCAGGATACTATATAATATGTAGTGCGTTACCCTGTATAGGTACGTTGCCGTATCGGGGCGCGCACAAAGGGTGTGACGAATTTGGTAATTAATAATATGATTTTTTTATTTTCCCACTCACCCTTTCACCGGAACTTTCAAGTATTCCGACTTCGGGTGCGCGCACGACGCATCCACCACAATGCATGCGATAGTAATAGTAATAATAATAATAATATAATGAATTGTGTTTCCATTGGTCGGCAACCCGATAAATCTCGATCTATATAACATAATACATACCTACCTACGTATAGGATTGTTATATTATATGATATTTAGATAATAAGAACATGATTTAGGTATGTAGTATAAATGCACACCTATAAATACACACACACACACATAATATTTATACTCATATAAATGGGTCCTAACTTTTCTTTCAACCTTCAGCATATCAGTACATCGTGAGAACCTAATCGATCCCCCACAGCCTTCCGTGCATCCCTAAAACGCCAATAATAATAATCGGGGTAGGAATTTTCGACATGTCAATAATATAAATAAATATAAATTCTCGTAGAAGCATAATATTATATTGCAGGTAAGGTCAGGTATTACGTAATAAGAATATTTATAAACCTACATATTCACTGGATTTTCGTCACGCATAAAAAATGTTATCAAATTGAATGAAGTAAATATATTTAACGAGATTGATATATTATTATATATTATTAAGCAAATTGGTTACATAGATACTAAATAATGTACAAGTTATTTGAGTTAAATTATGTACTTTTAAATTATAATGTATATAATTCCTGTAGATACTTAGTACCTACAGTTATACACGTAAAATTCAACGATAAAAAAAAAAAAAAAACCATTAAAATTAAAATTGAGTCTAATATTATCTAATATTATTAAACATACAGCACACAAATTATACAGGTTCTAGAAACTGCGCCTGGAAATCATTCATCGAGTTAATTTCACCCATCGTAACACATTCTGATGGTTCATATTACTGTGATATAAATTACATATTGATTACACATTGTGTTTATTATTATAAATAAGATATCAAAGTCAAAATCCTTCCTATTTTTAAAATCATAGTTAATTTATATATACCATAAAGTTTTACTTGTGGGTTTCATCGTTTCGCTTTATTTTTTTTTTTAGCGTTTAACATTTAAATTATAATTAATTACTCAATAAATTATTCAATAAATTGTTTATTAAAATTATTTATCAGTTATAATATATAAAAAATACATTAATGTACAATTCGTTTAAACTTTCCTGTTTTAATTATAAGATCAAACATATCTAATTAATTAGAAACGGTATTATTTGCTCATTATGAATCAAGTCTGAAAATTGTATTGTTTATCTATAATAATATTATTAATGAAGTAACAGTTAAATTTTTCAAGGATAAATTATATTAATTATAAAACATGTATTCGATCCTACAAAAAAAAAAAAAATAAAAAAAATAATTCACGATAATCATTTCGAGGCTCCGTTTCAGCCCTAAACGTTCTGTAGACCGAGCAAACACCCATCGCGTAATACCGCGAAAGAGTTAAATCTGCAGCAGGGCATACGTACATGGAAATAAGATTCAGAATTCGTCTCGAATGCGGACTCATCGCGGTACTTATAAATAATGCATGTGTGTCGCTTGACGGTGCGATCCTGGCCGAGTTCCTCAATAGCCGATATATCACGTGTACACGATGGAGACTATAATGTTGTCACATGTATAATATAATAATGTAACGTTATAACATTTATGTAAATGCGTCGTTGGCAAAGGACTTCTCGGCGCACGTTTACCCGTAATGGCCAAGAGTGAGATGTCTCGTACGTTTGTTGTCACCGCAGGATGACTGCGATATGCGCGTGTATATAATGATATGATGTCATTGATCCGTTTCCAAAATATCCGGAGACGCGACGACGTTGAGGAATGAAAGATCCATTTGTTTAATGTGTGAAAATAACGTTATAAATAAACAGGACGAAAAAAATAAATGGAAAACAGTTATTTTCGATTTAAACCACTTATGCGCGCGACTATTAAATTATAACGGGCGATCAGGACGAAATCGAGGTGACATCATATGGTCACCCACGCATTGTACTATCAGATATGATATTATATAATACGTTAGTTATAATCTACGATATTTAGTGTGTTTATGCCAGTATATAAATATATAGACTACATGAATAACACATAGTATCTACTAAATACTATATTAATTATTAAATTTTAACATATTCGTAAAAATTAATATTTTACATGAACATAATAATTTTTCGGCTATCAATAAAATACTATTTGTAAAAAAAAAAAATCTATTTTTCTCAACATATTAGATGCTATTTTTTATAGAAAGTAGCTTTAAAATAATAGCTCAAACGTATTTAATTGAACTTATCGTTTACCACGCATTAAACCGATTGATTGAAAACTATTATTTCATTAAGAATAAGTGATAACCACTGATACTTCTGTATAATATAAACTATGAGTAACTTTAATAATTTTGCGCTCCTACTTTGAAATTCTTCAGTTCTTAAAAATAAATACTGCAATATTGATATTCGTTGATTGATAAAACTATGATAGTGTTTTGAGGATTTAATAGCAGGCTGTATGCCGTATGGATTTTGTTTATAAAACCTAAATATATTTTTGCTATTTACAGTAACTTTTTCTCGACTTGTTTTATTAAAATTAAAATAAGAACAATTTATTAAAAAAAAAATTAAAATTATCTACTTTATAAAACAGTAGTAAAACAGTAGATAATATATTATATTATCATTTATCATGATATTATATCGATATAATATTATCATAATATTGTTATACTTTTTTAATGACGTGTTAAAACTATATTGAAAACCAAGTAAAACATGGTATTTCTTAATTTTCTTTACTATGTTTATATTATATACATTCATTAACATACAAAAACTTATCGTGAAACAACTGTCAGTGGAACATACGTCGCTCTCTTTTAAACTCAATAAAAGTGACCTAATAGTGTCTTTTAATAGAACGCCCAACACGTTATACCTATACTGTTATATCATAATATAATGTAACAAATACTCGAATAGCTTTGGCCTAGTGTCGAATTCACGTGCCAATATACTTGTACTCTTTCATCGTAAAATTTCCAAGAAACGATCGACGTCATTGCCTGAAAGAGTATTTGAAGAGATATTACTCATATTGTTTAAAAATGATGTTGACTTAACGAGAAATCATACATTCATTATATTAATATAGTGATATTTATGCATAATTACGTCATCTACATATATCTCCGCAAATGCCCAAAACAGCAATACGCGATCGGTGATGTTTGTAAATCGAATAAATACCAAATTATACAGCAATACATACTGTATTATAAATAATTATTCAAATGTTTAAAAAAAAAACACGTCGCTTATAATAATATTCAGAATGATTCTTTGTATCAATATATTCTCACTAAATTAATGTGATTCTAAGTCATTATAAAACGACTTTTTTGGAAAATGTATATCATTGTTTTTTATTTTTCATTGTTTCATTATTGTATATTTCTATTTTATTAAATTATTATTACATTTTTAATTTCATATACAGAAACAGAATGATTTTTTTTTTAAGGTTTTAATATTATGTAAAAAATGTGTAGGTATGCAACGAGAAATTATATGATAATATATAGGTACACATACTCGCACGTGCATAAAAAATTATGTGTGACTTTTCTTCTCTCCGTCTCGAGTTGTTTTCAAGATTTAACTTTTTTCTTAAACGCCGTAACGACATGTGCTCTGTTATATACTATATTAAAAATATATAATATATCCGAAGAAGGATAAAAAGAAGAAACCCCGTTCTTAATTCTCGGTGACCGGCTATTAACGCGAACAATTTATTTGACAAAAAAAACACACACACAAGCGCTCGCAAGCGTATTATATATGAATAAATAATAAAAAAAAAAATTGTGAATAAAAACTTGCCTCTTAGTTGATTGGCGAACATCTCGACGGGCAGCAGTAACCAAACGACAGCGGCGGCAACAGTGATTATTCGGCAACAGTCCATGGCGCGGCGGTTCTCTGGTCAACCTGAAAGCAAAAACCCACACAAATTCAATTACTGCACCGGTCTGCTAATGCTAACTAACGCCCGAAGCGTGGATTTCGACATAATATACAACTTGTTTTGTCCTTTTTATTATTAATATTGTCATTATTTAATTTTTAATTTCGCGGCTCTTTCTAATCATGCGAACGTAGCAATATCATACAATAATATTATATGTGCGGTGTATGTATACTATCATATATATATACGTGTACAATAAACTTTTTGCGTGGACGACAATACGAATCATGTGATTAAAATCACATCCGAAGATTATTATTATCATCATCATTATTGTTACTATTATTATTTTTTTTATTATTATCATTATTATTGTGATTGTCGTGAATCCTCGCACATACACAGTGCACACACCACACACACACACATACATACACATGCGTATAGAGTTATATACACGCTTGGTCGGCTTTTTTGACGTTCCGAGAAGCTACATACAAGAAGACGAAGTGAATGGACAAGAAGGAGCGGTAGTAATCGGTCCGACAAAGATTACGAAGACGACTGCGCTTTTTAGCTGACACGATGTGTTTTTTGTATGTGAGTATGTTATAATAGCCATTAGCCGCTATATTATACTAAAGAACGTTTTTAACTTTTTATCTTATTTTTCTATTACCTATTATATACTTACGGGTATACCTACATTTTATGATACACAATAATGTACTCCCTATTATGATATAATAATCTTTCAATATATGTATACACGTGGGATAAGTCGATCTTTTGAATTCAATTTCATTTTTGTTTCAAATACATTGTATTATGATATATAGCTCATTAATAGATGTACTCATACGCATTTTTAAATCTGTAAATATTAGTCGATTAATACTTAAACGTTCAGTATTTGCAGTACAGTAATGTTTGCCATCATAAATAATTGCCTATAGTGAGTCTTTAATACATGTTTTTGTTTTAAAAAATATAATAAATTATTATTTTAAAGACGCTACACAAAAAAAAATCATCGCCTCGTTTAAATCTAAACTGATAAATTGAGATATGGATATTTAGTAGTTTCGCTCCATATAAGATTTGTAATACGCTAAAGCTATTATTTATTTATTATATATTCTTTTTTTTTAACAAACATGACAAAATTTAAGTGATTTGCTAGAGGGGCGTATTATACTTTACCGACGGTCTTGTTAGTTGAGAATAAACTATAATGTTACAGTACGTTTCTGTATTCATTAAGCTAAAAAATTGAAGCGTCTTCTCGTAAAATATTTAAACAAGTTTATATGAATGATCATAAATCAAAAACTGGTCTAATTAGTTCTCAGTCATGAATATTAAACTTTTTTCATCAAACGTTATATATACATCGAAAACGATTCTTTAAGACTAACACAACTACTTATGTCATTAAGCAATTTATAGGATCTTATACCATGCTGCTTATAATAATATATATATAAAAAAAAATATATTATTTATAAAGAAACTATGTCTGATGTATCTGTATTTCTGTAATTCATTAAAACGTAGGCATGTCAACACGGTTGTATTAATATTTTTCAACGCATTACGCTTTACTGTATAAATAAAAATTAGACATAATAAAGATAGATTCCATACGGTTCTAAACTGCATCATACGATTAAATGTTTTTAAGTAAATAATTAATTGTATCGGTTATCGGAAAAATGTAATCTAAATAAAAATTAATCAAAATATTAGTAAATAACAGAAAAAATGTTTGAATAATGTAAATTACTCTTTATTTTTAAACTTGTATTTAAAAACTAATGATTAAAACAAATCAATTCTAGCTTGCATGAGGTTAACAGTCGAGACATACACACATCTTAGGGCTTTTCTAATTATTTGCAATGCATTAAAAGCGATATTTATTATTGTAAATGAGAGCAAGAATGTATTTGAGTCTATCGTTCTAAACAGTATATTATAATATGCTCTTCTAATTAAAAATTCGTCTGGCATGACAATGATTGATAAGTCGCATAGTATTAATATAATTGGTATTGTAATTTTTTCTACAAATCAAATTTAATTTTGAAATTTCGTTAATTATTTTTTACAACTATAAAACAATAATGATAAAAATAAATATGATAATAACTTTTTTAATAATTATAATAATAGTAATAGTATAGGTAGTGTAATAATAATAATAATAATAATAATAATAATAATTTTTGTTAATATCAACTATGTTGTGTGCATCGGGTGTCCAGTATACTATAATATTATACATATTCGATGATATAATTTATAGTATACCTAACAGAGTAGTATATAAAAAAAAAATCGTTTATTAAGTCGTCGTGATCGTTATAAATAAAATTGTGATTCAGACGAATTCGTTTAACCGGTATTATCCTATAAAACCAGCGCTCTAGTTGTAAAATATTCGCATTTGAAATTAACTATGGTAAAATATGTAAATTAGACCAGGGTTCAGTTTGTTGCAGCAGCGCCTGCGACACGAATTGGTTTCCTGGTACACGAAAAAAAACATACCTACTACACATCCTTTCGCTGTGGCAGGATGTAGAGCTTTTCACACGACGATAATTTACTATACGCGTTCCTATATCGCAACTGTCTAAAAAAATCTATTTTTAGGCATTCATCAATATTTAATATTAAAGATTACGTATGTTATTATATTATATATAAAGTGTAGATACACGTGTTTCTTATCCATATGACTCTTGTGTAACGGTATAACTTATAATAATCTACGTATTATATTATAATAATGATAATAATATGATGTATTCATATACCAGTGCGAAACACAATATTATGTCATGACCAAATGCGTTCCGGTTTGGAAAAAGTAAACGACACTGAAGTCGTAGGAAGCAAGCACTAGACGTTTTATCATAATAATATATTATAATACATAATATACTATGTGTTTAATCCGCAACAACAGAGTCCCGGCAAGACTTCAATAACCCGAAACGGTTTGGCGAATTTATTTAAATCTACATGATATATCATATTACAATGTTCACGCGTCGACAGTAATATTATAAGTCACAACCACTAGTCAGATTATTCGTTTAAATCTCTTCTTCTTTTTTTTTTTGTCCTATGTGATTTCGGTGCTATTGTGTGCGGTCATTCGCAAAGATCGAAGACATCGCTAGATGTTTATTTCACTATGCGTACAACCACAGCAGTAATAAACAATATTATAATATATAGTGTTATATTATTACATAGTATTAAGAAAGCTTTGATAGCTGACGAGATACGAATTTATTCTATTATGAGATACTACCCCGCACATAATGTACCATGAATTTTTTTCAATTCAAATTTTCGTTTGATTACCATCGCGTAATATCGATTTCGTGATGTATACCTATTTATTCATATTTATAAATCACAGAGAAAGACGCGAATGTATGTACAGTAAAAGCCGCTTATTAGAAACACTTTGGGACCAAGGTGAATTGTGTCAATTAACCGATTGTTTCTAATAAGCGATTGAAAAAAAAAAATGAATAATAGGTACGCGAAAAAAATATGTATGTATGTATATGTACCTATATTGTATAATTTAAAAAAGTATGCACAATTGTGTATATTTTACGATATTATGTAAAATATTTATCATTCGTAATTTGTTTTTTTACGTCGAGTAACTCCATGACCATATTTTCATACGAGTAATATTGCCCCTTTAGCTTTGTCACTTATTTTGAGTGCGTATGTATGTTCAGGTAGAGCTCCAAAATAAAGCCTAGTCTCGTCCGCATTGAAAATATCAAAGCGTGTGTATTGGGCTAGCAAATCGGTCAAATGAGTTTCAAACCACGAATGGTCGCATGAAAATTGGCTAAAATCTTAGCGTTTAGACATTTTTAGATTTTTAGAAAAAGGAAACACTAATAATCTTTACATACGCACGCTGAAGCTAAACTACAAACGGTACGACCAGTACGTACAGAAAGAGCATTCTCGCGATAAATTACAGTAAAAATAAACGTAACGACAGCAAAGATAAAATTGAAGTACATTGGTTATCGCTAGATAATCGGTGTATATGTCAACTGACCTTCTCCCAATTGTTTCAAATAACCGATGTGATGTTTCAATAATCCGATTTATTTTCAATGTTCTAATATACGGCCGATCCGTCCCGAGACATTTTGTTTCAATAACACGATTGTATCAATTATCCGTGTTTCTAATAAGCGGCTTCTACTGTATATTATTGTATTTAGCGATGGATGCGGTAGGCGTCTCGGTGGACGCGCGAGACTCATCCTAGTGTCCAAAGTTTAAATGACAGTAATTTGTTATACCAACCAACCACCACCCTTCCGGACTACAAACGTCATGCTTTCTCACTGCGGTGAATGTTTAAGGGAAATTCAATTCATCCTGACGCCCGTCATTTGAAATAAAATCTTACGTTCAATATATACTGAAATTGTTATTTACTATAATGTTTATACCGCAGCGGTGGTATGTTTATTGTAGAGTAAAAAAATCAAACCTTTCCGATAAAATAACCAATTTTTTTTCGTCCCCGGGCGGTGATATGAACGCTGAAAACACTCTACTCGAAAAGCATCGTCTGCAAATCGGTCAACTGCAGCGGAGACTTACGCGCATATAATATAATGTCGCGCGCACAGCCGATCGACCACCCACTGTCATTTTACGGCCGCTCCACCACAGAAATGTCATTCTACCGACGGTATATATGATATTATATTGAATTTATACCCGTGTCAATATTATATTATATCGACTTCCATAATGTTCTATACTGCACACTTATGCTCGTGCTTAACGTCCAGTCATAACATTATTATGAAGCCAATCACGCAACGGTGTGCTCGTATCATATTATGCCACCGACAAAGTTTTTGGGATTAGAATTTTTATTCATGTTATTTCAGAAAACCCAAAGTACCTTTACTACCACTTAGTCGGGTTAACCGTATTTAAGTTGAGTTAATGG